AAATTTTCCTTCAAAGAGAAACTATTGCTTCTCAATTTCATACATGTACATTGGTTTTTCATTCAGTCAGATTTGTGTCCATTAATTCTTTTGCATAGAGACTGTCCGGTTTGGCCAATGTACATGGCAGAGGGGCATTGCTGTCACATGATGGCATATATCACATTGGTAGATGTGCAGGTGAATGAGCCCCTGATGGTATGGCTGATATGAATAGGTCCTATGGTGATGTCACTTGAATAGATATGTGGACAGAGTTGGCATCGGGCTTTGTTACAAGAATAGGTTCCTGGGTCAGTGTTTTTGTTCAGTGATGTGTGGTTGCTGGTGAGTATTTGCTTTAGGTTGGGGGGTTGTCTGTAAGCGAGGACAGGTCTGTCTCCCAAGATCTGTGAGAGTAAAGGATCACCTTTCAGGATAGTTTGTAGATCTCTGATGATGCGCTGGAGAGGTTTTAGTTGGGGGCTGAAGGTGACAGCTAGTGGTGACATCAGGAATCATAATACTCAAAAACCAGTGGGAGAACACTTTAACCTGTCTGGCCATTCAATGACAGACCTGCGGGTGGCTATCTTACAACAGAAAAACTTCAAAAACAGACTCCAACGAGAAACTGCTGAGCTGGAATTGGTATGCAAACTAGATACAATCAACTCAGGATTGAATAAGGACTGGGAATGGCTGAGCCATTACAAACATTGAATCTATCTCCCCTTGTAAGTATTCTCACACTTCTTATCAAACTGTCTGTACTGGGCTAGCTTGATTATCACTTCAAAAAATTTTTTTCTCTTACTTAATTGGCCTCTCAGAGTTGGTAAGACAACTCCCACATGTTCATGCTCTCTGTATGTGTGTATATGTATTTCCTCAATATATGTTCCACTCAATATGCATCCGAAGAAGTGGGCAGTAGCCCACGAAAGCTTATGCTCTAATAAATTTGTTAGTCTCTAAGGTGCCACAAGTACTCCTGTTCTTTTTGTTTGATAAGAGATTGTTTTGGAAGGGAATTTTGTTTTGGAGAACTGTAATTTTTTTCTTCTTCTGGTAGAGTGCAAAAAATATACATTTTTAAGTGTTTTTTGTCCCTGAGATATGTTAGAGGGCATTTTTTAAATAAAAATATAAATAAAGGCCACCAAACAGTCATTTCATAATGATTTTTAGTAATTTGATAATGATTGTTAGTCATTTCTGACCTGAGACTAGCTCAAACTAGTGACCTAGAGGTGAAAAGCTCTCTATCTCCTTATCCATTTATCTAAGTTATCCAGTATTTCTGTATTTCAATATTTAATAGGAACACTATTCCTATTTTTTGAAGCTGGGGTGTGTCTGTGCAGTACCAGAACAGCTGATTACCTTCAGTTTTAGCTTGCAATGAATGCCTTTGTACAGCTTTGGGTGCAAGCAGCTATTAATTACATCATTATGTAGGTGGTGGGGAGGTGCATACATTTATTCATAGACTTGCTAAAGTGCTTTGTAGTCCTACACATGTATATAAGCCTTGAATACTACTTATACTAGGATCATGGTGAAGAAAGCAAAAATGAAAGTACACTTCCCAAATGAGGAAATTAGTCAGTCAACGAAAATTTATGAAATTTTTGTAAAGCTGAAAAGGTAATTTAATGTTATCCCTGTCAGAACACTTGAGAGTTACCTGATACCTCTTTTATAAAACTACTGATTACATTTTAGCTCTGAGTGAAATTTTAGACTCCAAAATATTAATTTGAAAATTAAATGTAAAGATTGTAACTGATATTAAAGCAATTTGTATATTATAATTATATATTGCCTTTAAAAAAACTGTTAAAAAAATAAGGTTGCAAAGTCAAATAGTCAACCGTTAGGAAATGCCAGAATTATGGTTGCTTGTGCAACTTTAATTTGAACTCCTTGTGCATATGCATTATGCTACTGTCTTTAATTACATGATCACTATCACAGTTACAGGGTGACCTGTACCTGAGTCCCTCTAGTGCACCCTTCCAGTGATAGACGTCACTACTACATCTTAAGTAGCAAAATGCCCTCTTCTCTAATAAGATATTGCTTACCCAAAATGCTTTTCATGGTGTTTTCAACCAGAATGGCTGAGACCTTCCTTTCATGAGACCAAAGGCCTGCCGTCACCTTGTCTTCTTACCCCTTTTTTGCTTTTGAGTCAGTCTTGCCTCCTCCTTACCACCCCATGTTGCCTAGTGGCTAGTCCTTCCTGGAATACTGCATTCCGTTTTGGTTTCCACACTTAAAAACGGATTTTGACAAATTGGAAAGGATTTAGAAAAGAGCTACCAGAATGATTTGAGGTCTTACAGTGAGACTAAAACTCCATTCAACAAAGAAAGTTGGCTGGTGATCCGTCTATAAGTATCTATATGGGGGAAATATTTCTGGTAGTAGAGGCCTTTTCAGTTTAATACGTGAAGTCATAACAAGATGGAGTGACTAGAAAAGTGGTTCTCAAACTTTTGTATTGGTGACCCCTTTCACACAGCCAGCCTCTGAGTGTGACCCCCCCCCCTTATACATTAGAAACTCTTTTTTACATTTAATACTATTATAAATGCTGGAAGTGAGCAGGGTTTGGGGATGGAGGCTAACAGCTCATGACCTCTCATATAATAGTCTTGCGACCTCCTGAGGGGTCACGACCCCCAGTTTGAGAACCCCTGAACCAGAAGCTGAAGCTAGAATAAATTAAGATCAGAAACAGGGTGCAGATTTTTTTTACAAAATTAGCTATTAGAACAATTTACCTAGAAATGTGGTGGTTGAAGTCTTTAAATCAAGATTGAAGGTCTTTCTAAAAGATATGCTCTAGCTCAGCCAAAAGTTCTGGACTTGATATTTCGCAGTTATTCATATGGGATTTTATTAATGGAAATATTAGTTTCTTAAAGCAATAAAGTATCTTAAGCATAAGTTTTTCTAAAAGCATTTTCATGCCATCTCTGTCACAATAAATGTGTATTCCATGTAATGTGGCCCTGGTAATTATTATTCTAGGAATTAACTGTAAAAGTAACTATAAAAATTGTTTAGCCAACAACTCTTCTTGTCTTGTTTCCCAGGACAAATGCCTCCATAGCTTCTTATTAGGAATCAAGAAGGCAGTAGGCAGTTTTCCCTGTTAACTATATAGCTCTGTTAGCACTTGTCTCTGTTAAGTAGATGACTGTTTGTTGGTTTACCCTGAAGCTGTGGCCTTCTTATTTAAGTGGAATCTAATTAAATAGAAATCCAGTTTAGATTGCTTAATTAATCACGTGACATACTAATGCAAACCTCTTGTAGAACAAAAATGCTTGTCATCATTTTACTTGAAATAGAATATTCATTCCAATTTTTTACTCAGATATTGAGGGTTGTATTGTAATCTTTATTTACTGCAGCAAAACAAGCAATGGACCAGGGAAGATCTCCCATTATAATAGACAACACTAATACTCAAGCCTGGGAAATGAAGCCGTACGTGGAAACGGTAAATATAACTACTGTGTAATTAAATCCATTGTTGTTATACTGTGGTTGTGTTTTTTGTTTTTGTTTTTTGTTGTTGTTGCAGACCTACCTTCACAAAGCACGAATGCAACTACTTTGTCTAGTAATGGGTCTTCCTTGTTGACATTCCTTCCTCTCCTCGAACAGGCTATTTCTTTGACATAGCCACTAACAGGTAGTCTAGTTTGGATTGACTTGACCTCATGTTTTTAGCCTAAGATGAAACCTAGAGGTTGTGGGGTAAGTGATCTAAAGTTCAGTGGGCTAAGACTGCTTCGTATTTAATTTGAACAATCTGGTTTTCATTAATATTTTTTCTATTTGTTGCAGCATAAACTAGTATAATAATGTTACACCTATCATGCATACTGTATTTCTTTGTTTGCTGTAGGCTCTAGGGAAAGGCTACAGAGTGGAATTCCATGAGCCAGACACATGGTGGAAGTTTGATCCAGAGGAGTTAGAAAAGTAAGACTTGTGTTATAGTAGCCATCATAGTTATTTTCTTTTTTCATTTGTATTGTGGTTTAATTTAAAATTTTCTCCATACTCCATCAATTGCTTAAGTGCTTTACTGCTAACGTGTTTTCTAGTATGTACTGACTTCTATTAATATTTATGTAAATATACTGCTTACATAAATATCAGCTCAGGAATACACAGAGGACCCTGCGTCCTGGTCCCTTTGAAATCAACAGTAAAATTTCCATGGATTTAAGTGGAAAAATAATCAGGCCCATAGGACACACTTCCTTACACAGTGGATGATTAAACTAACCTGGGAAGTCATTGCTACAAGATGTGACTGAGGCCATGAGCATTTATGTACATTAGACATTTATATAGATAAGAACACCCACAGTTTAATTAGGTAAGATAAAACATTTTATAAGGAATATAAATCCTCATGCTTAAGGGTGTAACTCCACTCCTAACTAGTGGGGATTAGGAAGAAAATTCCCATATAAGCAGGCTATTCCATAATTGTCCATCACAGTGTTACTTGAAACTTTTCTCTGTGCCCCTTCGCCTCTCCCCCCCCCCAAATCATCTGGTATTAAGTACTGTTGGAAATGTGATACTGGATTAGATAGACATTTGATCTGATCTGTTATTGCGGTGCCTATTTAACTTTGTTTGTTAATTCCTGATGTTTGTCACCACTCTAGATCCTCTTGAAATTATGGGATGTCAGTGCATGCCAGGCAAACTTGGGAGAAGTCAACTATATAAATATTTTTACTATTTTTTCCCCATCTCTTGTTGATATGGTATCATTCTAAGGCCACCGACAAAGTGATTGGATTGAGTTAGCCTTGCCATGGTATGTTAACGGGATAAGGAAAAAATAGTAAGAACATTCATCTTCTAACTCGATAGTAGTCAGAAGAGCACCGTTTTTGGTTTTCTTGTTTTGGTAACTAAAAATATTAAAGTAGTGTATATAAAAAGAAAATAATTACTAAACACTAAGATATTGCATGAATAATCTCACTCAAATTAAACTAAACTCTTTATGACCAAGTATCTGAACTCTTTCAAAATGTAGGTTATAATGAAAACTTACATAAAGAAGTGTAATGGCTCTAATATAATACTGGAGTGAAACAAAAGTAGGCATACCAATTCAGTATCTCATCAGCTCTTAATAGCTAAGCAGGGGAAGGTCTGGTTAGTACTTATATAGAAGGTCATCAAGGAAAATGGGTCATCAAGGTCATCAAGGGTTGCTTAGGAAATGGCGTTTGGTGGTTCAGTAAGACATTCTATCCTCAAAGTCAGTATTGAACAGGCGTTGCACATGTCAGAGGCACTTTGCTATGAGAATCAACATCTTACCGATTAGTTCTGACCACATGTAATTATGAAATAGTCCATGACATTATTTTGCAAGAGTTAGGGAAGTTAACACTGATGACCTGGCCAGATTCCTCTCTTGGTAATTGCACTTTACATTTCTCCTGCAATTGGGTACAGTATTGGCGTGGAGTGTTGCTATACTCTGTTAAACAGTTGCTGTTTCTCCCTCCATAGAGGCCTGCCTTCATTCATTCATTCATTCATCTATATCGGTCTAAAGTGAATTGTATGTGGAGGTACAAAATTGTAGTTCCTTGGGCTGGAGAGGTTCATTGTGCTTTGGGAGAATTTACAATAGGGTAATGGCAAGTGGTGGTTCTACTATCCCACTTCTTCAGGTTTTATGCCATTGGAGGGCAGCCTTACGCTGCATTCAGTGTTCCTTAGAAATCCTGTCTGTGGACACTGTTGTGGGGATGTACTGAACGAATGCATCAGCAATTGTGGCCATGCCCCCTCCACTGTCAGCACCGCGCACCTTTGTGGCCTTACTGGCTCTCTGAAGATGCCTTCCTCAGTGCAAATTCTTTGCATCTGTCTGTGCCACTGGACACTGCCCTTCCTCTCCACATCCCTTACCAATTCATACAAAGGAAGACTTAAAATAGGAGTGACCACATACTAATTCTGTGCTAAGGGCTGAATTATTATGGCGTTGAAAATCAGTGAGTTGGGAGTAAAAGATTGACTGGCAAAATCAGAAACATCAGCCTCCATTGTTAACAGAAGAGGTCTAGATGGACAAGGATGGAAGCAGAAATTAAAGCCTCTTTTAGCCGATCGAATACCAGTTGAGTCTCCGCAGACCAGACAAACCAGGCTCCCTTTTTCAGAAGGGCCATTGGGGGGCTACCAGGTATTGAAATCTCAGGTGAAACACTGGTAGAAGTTAGCAAACCTTAAGAATCATTGTATGCCCCAGACATCCCTCGGAGCAGCCCATTCTGGGATGGTAGAGACCTTATGTGGGTCCATAGCCCCTCTGGAGAGACAACTATGATTTAATTTAGTGTATAAGTCATCTGACATATACATTCTAGAACATGGTTTACATGCTGGTCATTCTGGTTCTTGTTTTCAGAGAATATCAGGATGTCATCTAAGTAAATTACTACAAAATGGTCTAACATATTTTTGAAACTGTCATTTATAAAATGTTGAAAAGTAGCAGCGGCATTGTGTAGTCAGACCAGCATCACAGTGTATTCAAAATATCTATAACAGGTGCAGAATGTAATAGTCAACACACAGGTGTAGGAAACCATCCTTCTCGGTGACAAATAAAATTGGAGCCCTGGCCAAGGACTTGGAGGGACAGATGAACCTGTTGCACAGGCTCTCTTGTAGGTAGCTTCTAAGGGCCTGCAGCTTGGGTTCTGAAAAGGAATAAATATGTTCAAAAGGGATTTCCCCTCCGGCCTGGATATTTATAGGGCAATTATAGGGCTGATGAGGCAGCAAAATATTGGTCCTCCCTTTGTCAAAAATATCAAACAGGTCCTGGTACTTTGCAGTTATAGCCATAGTAGTTGGGGCGCTGGCTGTGTCTAGTGAGGCCCCTCCTAACCTGCCTTAGCCTGGCTTGGAGAGAGACAGCTTCAACAAGTATAAGATGGGGGCTGTCTCTTTCCCCTGACTGAGGTTGAGACGGCAGGTCTGACATGATTGCAGAGAGGTGAACTTGATCATGCTAGAGCTCCAGCAGTTGTGAGGGTGATGGGTGGTTTGCCAGGTGATGCCAGAAATAACTATAAAGAGGGGGAAACAGATTAGGCCAAACTGTAAGGTCTCCTGGTGGTCCTGGATAGTGGCGACTTCTGAAGGAGCTGTTTCTCATGTAACTGGGCTGGAGGAAAATAGAGATCCATTGACCGCTTCAGTGAGGTCTGGGATGGAATTGACTCATGTTGGTATCTGGTGTTATGAGATGCTCCTGTGTCCACGAGGGCTTCCAGGTGGATGTCTGCCATGGCCAGATGCCTTAAGCAGAGTGGGAGCTGAAGGTGAGTAAGTTGGAGCACTGCCACTAACCTGTGAAGTGGTACTGGTGTATCGAGCTAGATCCAGGGGAATTACACCATCCCCAACCAGGATTCTCGTAGAAGGTTGAGGCCCGGTATTTCCTTGCTGGGAGACGGACCGACCTTTAGCTGGGCAACTTGAGCTGTAATGTCTAGTTCTGCCACAGTAAAGGCATAGGCCTTCCAAGTGGCATTGGTTCTTTTCACCATCAGAAAGGCAGGACCAGACAGTGCCAAGTTACATAGGCTCTGGTTGCGGCAAGAGGTCAGTGGGGAGCTCAGTCTGGGCATGAGTGACCGAGACTAGTATATGGTCAGGGCACCATTGCCTTTTCCTGGCAACATTCCAATAGCCAGCTATCAATTCTTATGTTTAAATTGATCGGGGTGCCAAGATTTCTGCCCAGGCCACTTCGTCCTTCTCATCATCACTCAGACCATGACAGAAGTGGTGGTGCTGCATGGCCTTGCTCCATTCCGTGTCAGCTGTGAGGCAGCAGAACTTTGTGGCATAGCTAGCGACCACCTTGTGGCCTTGTCTCAGGGCTTGAAGTGCTGATTCTGCCATATGTGTCCGGTTCGGGTCATTGAAATGTGTTGTCATGGCCTGGATAAAGTTCTTGAACTCCCCCAAGAAGGGACTGGCTTACTCCAGAGAGGGGGAAGACCAGGCAAGCACCTTCCAATCAGGAGACTAATGATGAGCCCCACCTTGGCTCTACTGATGGAATAGGTCTGTGGTCTTATCTGGAACAGGAGTGGCATTGGTTCAAAAACCCATGAGAAGCCCTGTGGTCCCCATTGCACTTGTCTGGGTGGGGAATCATAGGACTGGAAGAGTCCTCGAGAGGTCATCTAGTCCAGTCCCCTGCACTCATTGCAGGACTAAGTATTATCTAGTCCATTCCTGACAGATGTTTGTCTAACCTGCTCTTAAAAATCTCCAATGATGGAGATTCCACAACCTCTCTAGGCAATATATTCCAGTATATTAACCACCCTGACAGGAAGTTTTTCCTAATGTCCAACCTAAATCTCCTTTGCTGCAATTTAAGCCCATTGCTTCTTGTCCTATACTCAGAGGTTAAGTAGAACAATTTATCTCCCTCCTCCTTATAACAACCTTTTATGTGCTTGAAAACTGTTATCATGTCCCCTCTCGGTCTTCTCTTTTCCAGACTAAACAAATCCAATTTTTTCAGTCTCCCCTCATAGGTCATGTTTTCTAGACCTTTAATCATTTTTGTTGCTCTTCTCTAGACTTTCTCCAATTTGTCCACATCTTTCCTGAAATGTGGCGCCCAGAACTGGACACAATACTCCAGTTGAAACCTAATCAGCGCGGAGTAGAGCAGAAGAATTACTTTTCGTGTCTTGCTTACAATGCTCCTGCTAATACATCCCAGAACAGGGGTGGGCAAACTACGGGCCGCATCTGGCCCGTCAGAGCTTTTAATCCAGCCCTCAAGCTCCCGCCAGGGAGTAGGATCGGGAGCTTTCTGTGCGGCACCCAGAATCAGAGGCATGTCCCCCTTCTGGCTCCTACATGTAGGGGAAGCCAGGGGGCTCCACATGATGTCTCCCCCCTCCCCCCCAGCTTCTACTGGCCAGGAACTTTGGCCAATGGGAGCTGTCTGCGGACAGGACAGCGTGCAGAGTCACCTGGCCACGTTGTGCCTCCGCATAGAAGCCACAGGGGGGCATGTCGCTGCTTCCGGAAGCTGCGGGGGCGGTGCCTGCAGACGGGGCAGCGTGCAGAGCCGCCTGGCCAGCACTGTGCTTCTGCATAGGAGCCAGAGGAGGGACATGCTGCTGCTGCTTCGGGGAGCTGCTTGAGGTAAGCGCCACCCAGAGCCTGCACCTCTGAGCCCCCTGCGGCCCAACCTCCTGCCCCAGCCATGATCCCCCTCCCGCCCTCAGAACCCCTCGGTCCCAGCCTGGAGCACCCTACTGCACCCCAGACCCACCCCAGAGCCTTCACCCCCTAGCTGGAGCCCGCACCCCCACACACACCCCAACCCCCTACCCCAGCCTGGAGGCCCCTCCCACACCCTGAACTCCTCATTGTTGGCCCCACCCAAGAGCCTGCTTCCTCAGTGGGAGCCCTCACCCCAACCCCCAATTTTGTGAGCATTCATGGCCCGCTATACAATTTCTATACCCAGATGTGGCACTCAGGCCAAAAAGTTTGCCCACCCAGTCCCAGAATGGGATTTGCTTTTTTTGCAACAGTGTTGCACTGTTGACTGATATTAAGCTTGTGGTTCAATATGACCCCCAGATCTCTCTCCGCAGTACTCTTTCCTAGGCAGTCATTTCCCATTTTGTATATGTGCAACTGATTGTTCCTTCCTAAATGAAGTACTTTGCATTTATCCTTATTGAATTTCTTCCTATTAATTCAGACCATTTCTCCAGTCTGTCCTGATCATTTTGAATTTTAATCCTATCCTCCAAAGCATTTGCAACCCTTCCCAGCTTAGTATCGTCCGCAGACTTTATAAGTGTACTCGCAATGCCATTATCTAAATCATTGATGAAGATATTGAACAGAACCGGACCAAAAACTGATCCCTGCGGGACCCCACTTGTTATGCCCTTCCAGCATGACTGTGAACCACTGATAACTAGTCTTTGGGAATGGTTTTCTAACCAGTTTTGCACCCACCTTATAGCAGCTCCATCTGGGTTGCATTTCCCTAGTTTGTTTATGAGAAGGTCATGTGAGACCGTATAAAAAGCTTTGATAGTGTCAATAGGAATGAAAAGGAATCTTTGGTTTCTTTACTGTATACTCCACCTGCAGTGTGCTATTCTGCGCCTCTGTGGGGAACCCAGCAGGTCAGCTAAGGAAGGACCTCCAGGTGCAGAATCCATCCCTATCAGTGGCTCTTTTTCCTGCCCCTCTCTGAATCTTCTCTTCAGTTTTGTGGGCTGCTCAAACTATAATGAACAAGCCATGGGCAGCCTTGCCTATTGGTCAGGGTGGGAGGCTGGCTTAATGGTTGGAACAGAGGTAACCAGGCTTAGTGGCCAGGTTTGGAGTCAAATTATCACTTTTGGGGGGCCAGCCGAGAGCCAGAGACCCGGAGCCAGGGGCAGAGCAGTGATCAGAAACTGAATGTCAAGTCCAGGGAGTGAGCCAGAAACCAGGAGCCACGGGTCAGAGCTGTAGTCAGAAAATGAATACCAAGTCCAGCAAGCAAGTCAGAGCCAGGAATCAGGAGTCAAGGGTCAGAGCCAGAGTGTAGGCCGGAGCCAAGAGCAGGGATTAGGAATCCAGGAACAGAACCAAAGACAAGGAACAGAAAGCAGGAGCGGGGATTCAGAGTAAGGGCTAGGAGCAAGAAGGGAGTTGAGAGCAGGACCAAAAACATAGCTGCTGCTGTAGAATGCTGTGGAGCAGCCAGGAACCTACGGCTGCTGCAGTGTTTGTTTGAGACTGTGAGTGCTGAAGTCTTCAGCCAATCTGGGTTCATTAGCTGAGTCAGCCAAGTACAATGAGCAGGGTCTGTGTTCAACTGAGGGTCCCTGATATGGCCCCCATCACGGTTGTATCTAACAGCACCATAGTATCTGCTAGATAAATAGAAAGAAGAGTTATCTTAGAACAGTATACACATATTGTCCATATTAACAGTTTGTAAGATATTGCAAACCCATGCAGTATCTTTGGGGTCCATTGTTTTAAATAAATGGTTTATGTATGGTTGTGTTCTACTCCATGAGGGAGGATTACCACAGCTCCTCCGGGAATTAAAAACAGTGGGTCGTGACTAAGGTAAATCAGCCAGGTTGTTACCCTCCCAGAGAGGTACCACTTCCTGGAGAGGCTCACATACACTATTTCTAAGCAGATTCTCCAAAGACCGGTAGACAAAGAAAGGACTTTTGGATAAATAGCCTGAGTTTAAACTGACTCGGGGTCTTGTTTCTAGTCTATCAAACAGACAGTAGCTGCTGTCCAAGGGAGGCCCTATCCCTTGCAGAAGAATTGGAAAGACTTTGGCCTACTGGGACCCCATAAGACTAATGGGTGACCTCTGGTAGGCTGTTTGTTTTTACGTATTTGTTTACCTGATGAATAAATGTACTTGCTTAGAAAAAGCTGTGTAGTGACCTGTAACTGCTGGCATTCACACTACTTATAGCCCTTGGAGAGAAAGCAAAGCACAGGTCTTGGTTTTTTTTAGGCAGAATGGTTTGCTGCCATTATTGCAGTAGAAGACCGGGAGCTGTGCAGCCTTAAAACCACTGGTTGGGGGGAGTGAGATGCAGGTCTCTGCCCAAGAGAGGTGATGACTGGGAGCCAGAAACCTTGAATTGGGTGCCCTCAAGGGACCTCAGAGGGGGAAATACAGATGCAGTTCTGCTGAAACTGTGACAAACAGCACCACATTTCTGTATAAAGGAAAATATTTTTTAAAAAATATTTTTGAATGTACAGTATATACAATGAATTGTGTTAAAAAGATGCAATACAATTTGGATATTATAAGATGGTAAATATTGTGTAATTAAATCTGAACTTCCACCCACTATAGCATATTGTTTTTCAGAAGTGTGTAGTCAGTTGTAGTGAATTCATCTGTTTTAACTATATTTAAGCTTGCTGTTTTGTAGTGTTGGAAAAACCTATGTGATCCTTCTGGATCTTGAAAGTAGGCAGAAGATTAAATGATGGCATTTGATAGTCTGGATAGATGGAGAGGATAAAACACAAGATACTCTTCAAAAGTTTAAGAAAGACTGAAAACATATAAAAAGTACCAAACAGTTTATTTAAATTATTATTTTTGTAGGAGGAATAAACATGGGGTCCCTCGTGAGAAGATTGCTCAGATGTTGGAACGATATGAATATCAAATGTCCATCTCTGTTGTAATGAATTCAGTGGAACCTCCTCACAAAAACACACAAAGGCCACCTCCACAGCGAAGACAGAGGTGGGGAAGCTGTATAGACTCTTGGAATTCTTTCAGTGTTTCAAATAACCGATAACTCAGGTTATATTCAACTAACACCATTTTTTTGATCACCCTTTTAAAAATATTGAACAGTGAACTTTCTCCTGAGGTTTAAATAGGCTTAATGCAATTAAAGGACCATTCTCTCTTGGAGATTGTTCCATTAAACAAAGTTTTGGAGGCTTAAATGTAAATAAAATTTAATATAAAAATGTATGTTAAATGTTTTTACAATCTCTATTTATTACATTTGTACTAACTTTGGTTTTGGATAGTATGAAGTAAACAAGTTTTCCTTTATAGTTGGGTCTCAAATAATGTTGTCTAAGGAGGATGCTGTTGAACAGTTTTTTGTGTTTGTTCTTTTATTGAGGAAGACCTGACAAAACTGTTTTTTAAATAGAACTCAGAAAAGCCTAGAGGAATAGGTTATGTGTGTAGTTTATTGCATTTTAACTATTTCCACTGCTTTTTAATATTTTATCCAACTTTTACCAGGTTTTTATATTGAACAATTATGTTTTCTATTTCTTGGTGGATGCTTGTTCATTTTAATTGGTATCCAAAATGTTGTCACACTTATAACCCAGATTTCTTTCCCTCTTCCCTTTGTTTCCATCTTCACTTTTGGCCCAGAGTCTCATCTGGCAGCTAAACCAATGTGCTGCAATTGCAGTATTCACCAGCCTGAAATTACAAACCAGAATTTGTCTTGAATTTGCTATCTACTGAAATACCAAATGTAATTGTGCCTAGAAATTTACATTTATTTTTTGAGATTTTTGTTGGCATGAAAATGTACAGCTGCGTTTCTTTAAGTTACAGCATTAAGATGCTTAATTAGAACTGAGTCTTGGGCTAAGTGTTCTAACTGGGCAAAGAAAACAGAATACTTAAAATATTAGTCTCTCAGGGCCCATCTGCAGTTGGAGTGTGTGCAATTCCACCAAGTAGGTACAGGTGGACAGTGGTCTCAGTTCTGTAAAACCACATTACATTCTTTTCAGGATTTTGGCACAGATAATATTCTCCATGCTGGTTCAGTTTTAGGTATCTGCTAAGAAGAGATTGATCATTTTATTGCCATAGATCCTTTTTACCTTAGGCTTAAACACTGGTATGGTTGTAAGTTTTAAATTTAATGCTTGTATTTTTCCTGGTCCCTGGACTAATAAAGTAT